CAACCTCTAAGTGGGGCCTGAAGGAACCCCCCCACCCCCAGACTTACAACTGAACTCCAGGCAGCAGAGATCTGTCTCCCTGGAGAAAATGACTGTTTTAAAAGGTGGACTCTGTGGCATTATACCCAGCTGAGACCTCTCCCTTCCCCAATCCCACCTCAAAACCTCTAGGGACTCCCCAGGCCAGGCCCCAAGGCTCCCTCCCTCCCTGAAAGGCCAACGGAGGCCTGGAAAAGGGCCCTTCCCCCACACCCTTTGACTCACAGAGCCGGTTAGAAGCCTCTTCTCCCCCCCGCCCTGAACGTTCTAACCTCTCTCTCACAGTTGGTGTCTGAAGCAGATCCCTGCAGAGCCCATTTCAAATGCTTTTTGGGGGAATTCAGTCATCCCTGGAGGGATTTTCTTAGTTTTTGCATTTTTGTGCAGATATAGGAAGCATGCTGGGTATGTAGGAGCAGTTTCTGAGGCAGGCGGATCTTCCTTTTCCTGGGACTACGGATCCGCACACGGCGCCCTCTGTTGGCTATTAGAATATATGATTTGAATCCAGGAGTTGCTGGTTACTTTGCCAGTGAGATTGTGTGGATACAGATAGAACAACCATAAATTGCTTATTTACTTTAACATTTCCGTTCTGTGCAAAGTACTGTAGAAATCTATAAGAAATCAAGTTAAGAACATCAAATAAATAGGACCATCAGTAAGCAATGTCACTAAAAGAAGAGCCAGTATGATGTAGTGGTTAAGAGCGGTGGACACAAATCTGGAGAAGCGGGTTTGATTCCCCACTTCTCCAGCTGGGTGACCTTGGGTCAGTCACAGTTCTCTCAGAGCTGTTCTCTCAGAGCTCTCTCAGCCCCTCCTACCTCACAGGGTGTCTATTGTGGGAAGAGGAAGGGAAGGAGTTTGTAAGCTGCTCTGAGACACCTTCGGGTACTGAAAACTGGTGTATAAAAACCAACTTTTCTTCTTCTTTACCTAATTAGATGTTAAGAACATGGGTTAACAGGGTAGACTTCATCTGGTGGTGACTCATGGATAACACTTTTGGCATCAGGAGACAATGAGAGGGAAGTTCCCCAATTTAAGGAGTTTCTGTAGCCCCTCCAGTAATTACCTGCTTAAATTCTGAAGCTGGGGGCACTCAAAGGACGGTCTTAATAAATCTGTCATTTTTATAAGACCTTCAAGGAGCTCACAGTACTTCTAAAGATACATGGTTCTTCTCCATTTTAATCCTTGCATCAACCCAGTGAGGTAGATTAGTCTGAGAGAGAGCGTGACTGTCTGAAGTTCACCAGGTAGCCTTTTGGCAGAGTATGGATTTGAATACAGGTCTGCCTAGTTTCAGTCTTACACCCTAACCACCATATCACGTTGACTACTTGTCTTAATAAGTGTTACTTAAGATTACAGCTACTCGTGTGATCACATGTGGTTCGTAAGCATCACCTCTAGGCTATCAAGCTTTACAAAAAGTTGCTGTATTTCCTTTTCTCCCCCTACCTTTGAGGACAAAAATAATGGACTAGCAAACGTTTTGATAAGCCAGTAGTTAATATCCTCAGTAACTGTTTTTTTCACCCCTTTCTGCCATTTGTGTGTACCTTAATCTGCACATGGATTTTTCTTGGCGGGAGAAGGCTTCAGCGTGCATAGCAGATGATTCACGTATGTCTCCTGATGCTCACCTGCCCCCACTGAATGTGCCTTTTTATGATGATGGGAATTCACTTTCTCATATTGGGACCCAAACAGTTGCATGTGTCTGGGAGTGTATTACAAGAGCTAGATCACGTCCACTGTCTTTATTTAATGAATACACATCAGATGGGGAGACTGTAGTTTGCCTTTTTGTTGTTGTTGTTAAATGTACTGTTGCAGACCAAATGAAGATCTAACCAAGTAAAGGGAAATGTAATTAGTAACCCAAAGTATAAAGAGAGTAAAAACACAGTCAGAATCTCTGCAAATACTATAAATATGTGTTTTGTTCCACTCTTTGCAGGTCTTCCTCTGTCACTTGGAAGTATGCTTGTTGTTCAAGGACTAGTGGCCAATGGTAAATGGATGTTTTTTAAAGTGTGAAAAACTCTCTAGGATTGTCAGTTGTTGGCTGCTGAAATTGTGTAGCTACTGAATACAGAAAAGCTCAATGTGGAGGAAATTTGAACTCTAGAAATCTGGTGATCCAAAGATGGTTGAAAGATCATGATGGAAGATAAAACTGCTGCGTGATTATGGGCTTTCTAATAATCAGCAGAGTATGCAGGAACCCTGTGGGCCAATTTCATACATTACAGAGAGATGTCCCTGGATTTGCCACTGAATGTATACTCAGTAGGGAGCTCCCTGACAAGTATATCTTGAATGATACAGGTGATTGGCATATTCACATTTTATGATTTTAAATGAACACTTAGGACACCTGGGATAAACATCTAAATGCAAGGGGCTAGATCCATCCAGCTTTACTGCTGGTGAAAAAGAAATAAGGTATCCTCTCAGACTACCCAAGAAGGGTATGTTATGTTGTATGATCACATTTTGTTCCTCTCTTCTTCTTTTTTTGACACTGTAATCTGCCTTGTAAAGCTGCGGTGGCTCAAGTGGTTAAGACGCTGAACTGCAGACTGTGGAAGGTCAGTAGTTCAGCAGTTCGAGACCCGGGTGCCGCAAGACGGAGTAAGCTCCCGTCTCTAGTTAAAGCTCCTGCCAACCTAGCAGTTCGAAAGCAAGAAATTGCAAGTAGATAAATAGGTACCACTTTGGTGGGAAGGTAACAGCGTTCCGTGCGCCTTGGTGTTTAGTCATGCCGGCCACATGACCACGGAAACGTCTTCGGACAGCGCTGGCTCTTCGGCTTTGAAATGGAGATGAGCACCGCAACCCTAGAGTCGGACTTGACTGGCTTTCGAGCAAGGGAACCTTTACCTTTACCTTTAATCTGCCTTGAGTTTCAGCGAGAGTGGTAGGCTATAAACAAGCTACATAAATATTCTGAGAATCATGGGATCTTCATGTACAAAAGCCATGTGGGAATGGGGGGGGTATAGTATGGAGGGAATGTTTCAGATTGGTTGAAAAAACTGGCTGGATTAAACCCAACGTGTGGCATGGGCTTTCCTTTACAGTAGCACAAAAATGTGCCATCTGAATGGTATTATGGTAAATCTGGAAAGAAACGTGTTGTGAATTATTAATTTTTTAAAGGGGCATGCCCCCTATAATTTTTTCTCATGCTTTTTATGGAGGTATCTATAGGAACAGGTGTACCTTTCTTTTAAAGAGTTCCTTCCAATTGTCTTCATAAAAATTTTATGTCATTGACATTGGCAACTAACAATTGGCTTACTCATAGTGGATACTTAAATACTGGGTATTTACTTACTGGTATATATTTGCTTACTGCCATGCATTAGAAAGTTAAGTATAACTCAACTAAAAGCAAAATTCCAACAAAAAAACAACTGAGAGACTGTTAAGGAACAGTTTTGCATTTTGTAAATCACTGAGCTTTTGTATTTGAAAATTAACATAATGAAATGGATGCAGTTTCGTGTTGGACAATAATGCTGTGTTATCTTGAGACGACGTTTATAACTGGAAATTATACTAGCAGCACTTTATACACTGAAGGATTCTTTATCTCTCAAACAGTGCACAAGCTTGCTATGTTATTAACGGATAATATAGAAGACTATTTCTAATAACTTACATTGTATGTTCCATAAATACTGGGTATTTACTTACTGGTATATATTTGCTTACTGCCATGCATTAGAAAGTTAAGTATAACTCAACTAAAAGCAAAATTCCAACAAAAAAACAACTGAGAGACTGTTAAGGAACAGTTTTGCATTTTGTAAATCACTGAGCTTTTGTATTTGAAAATTAACATAATGAAATGGATGCAGATGGACAATAATGCTGTGTTATCTTGAGACAACGTTTATAACTGGAAATTATACTAGCAGTACTTTATACACTGCAAGATTCTTTATCTCTCAAACAGTGCACAAGCTTGCTATGTTATTAACGGATAATATAGAAGACTATTTCTAATAACTTACATTGTATGTTCCAGGTACTTTCAAAGCAAGCCCTAGATTTGGACCACTGCCTAAAATGGCACGTAAGTCTGAAAACTGATTGTAAAGTTAAGATGGGAAAGATGATAACCTTTCAGTTAGTTTGTCATTATGTTCACACCTGGGGCATATCTGTCTAATCTCACTTCTGGCATTCTGCGAATCTTAATTTTTAGTATGAGCCAAAAGCAGTTTTGTAGATGTTGTTACTACAAAAGGAACTCTGACATCATGCTGTCACTGATGGCTGAAGTCATTGGAATTAAAAAGATGTAATTGTGTGTAGGATTACGGCCAGTCATCTTCCTTCAGCTGATGGTTCCTGGCCATCTTTGCTTTCTAATAGTCAGTTTGGTATTAATTATGTTCTGAATTTATAATGGCTTTATAGACATTACTTCTAGATTGGGGTTTTCTTAAAATTATAGAGCTTGGACGATTAAGTCCAGTTCCTGCATTCAAGGCAAGAACGTGCACTTTGGTAAACTGTTGCAATCCATATAATGTTGCATAACAAAAAGATTATTGTTGAGTAATTATTCCTTGATAATCAAAGCAAGTAAGACACTTGAATGGAAGGTGGATATCCCTACCTTAAAGGCAAGAAGGAGCGCTTGGGTAAACTGTTGGAATCCATACAGTGTTGCATAACAAAAAGATTATTGTTGAGTAATTATTCCTTGATAATCAAAGCAAGTAAGACACTTGAATGGAAGGTGGATATCCCTACCTTAAAGGCAAGAAGGAGCGCTTGGGTAAACTGTTGGAATCCATACAGTGTTGCATAACAAAAAGATTATTGTTGAGTAATTATTCCTTGATAATCAAAGCAAGTAAGACACTTGAATGGAAGGTGGATATCCCTACCTTAAAGGCAAGAAGGAGCGCTTGGGTAAACTGTTGGAATCCATACAGTGTTGCATAACAAAAAGATTATTGTTGAGTAATTATTCCTTGATAATCACAGCAAGTAAGACACTTGAATGGAAGGGTAAACTGTTGCAATCCATACAGTGTTGCATAACAAAAAGATTATTGTTGAGTAATTATTCCTAGATAATCGAAGCAAGTAAGAAACTTGATTTGGGGGGGATATCCCTTAGGGCACTGTTTCTTAAACTACTTAGAGTTATCTCTGTGCTTTACAGCAGACTTGCTGTACTTTAACATAAGAGTAGCCATGCTGGATCAGAGCAGTGGTCCATGTATTCTAGCGTCCTGTTCCTGAACAATGGTCCATGTATTCTAGCGTCCTGTTCCTAAGGGTGGCCAGACAGATGCAACTGGGAGGATCTCATCTGCTGACAGTTCCCCAGCATCTGACCATTAAAGGCTTTCTCCCTCCAAACCTGGAAATCCCATCCAGCTACCATGGCTAACAGCAAATTTCCATAAATCTCTCTGGCTCCCCTTTTAAATCTATCTAAGCCAATAACCATCACTACATCTTGTGCCAATGGGTTTCACAAGTCAGCTATCCATTGCACACAGGAAGCTGCCTCATACAGGATCGGACCATTGGTGTATCAAAGTCATGATGGCCTGCTCTGACTCTCCAGAGTCTTAGGCAGAGGTCTTTCACATTACCTATTAGTTGAGTGTTTGAACTGGAGATACTGGAGACTGGACTTGGGGCTTTCTGCATGAAAAGCAGATGTTTACCACTGAACCAGGTCCCCCAGTTCTGCACTAATCATTTGTTCCATTGTGGGAGCTCCACTGTGCCTTTGAGTAGCTGGTGGTTGACACTGATCTGACATTGGCATTGAAGACTGATGGAACACGACATTCTTAAGAAGGTGAATATGCCATCAAGATGCAGCCAACTCATGGCGACCCCAACCATGGTGTGTTCAAGGCAAGAGATGATCAGAGGTGGTCAGCCATGGTCAATACTTGGATGGAAGACTGGGGTTACTGCATGGAAGAAGGCAATGGTCTTCCTCCATGTAGCCTTCCTTGGTGGTCTCCCGTCCAAGAACTAACTCTGGCTGGCTCTGCTTAGGTCCCAAGCCCTGATGAGTTCTGCTTGACGAGTTCTGCTTACATCCCAAGTTCTGATGAGCTTGGTTGCCAGGACATTCTTAACCCTCTCTGAAAACCATGCTTAGGGAACCATCAAAAAGACAAAGCAGCAGCTATTCCTGGGCTTGCTTCCTTCTCCAGTCATTCTGAGATAATGAAGCAGCAGCCTGATCTAAGGAATGTTCTTCCTAAGTATGGGCTATTTATACAACCATTACATTTGACTGTTGCATAGAACAATTCTTTGGTCTCTCTTTGCAGTTGCTGGTATTGCAGGTTTTGCTGTTGGGACCATGTCGTACATAAGAACATGTCAGAAGAAGTTTGAAAGTATTGGTGTTCAGCCTTTTGGCCCCAAATGGTTAGTCTGGAAAGTGTATATGAAGTGGCTTGAATTGATCGAAACCCTAAGTATGGAAGACAGGCATAAACAAGGCTGGGATTTCTAGAGTGAGAAAACTGCCATTTTCAGTTGCATTGGGCTCACTATCCGGCCTGTAGTCAGAGCTTGCCTCTGTGGGGTCAAACTGCTGCACCTGCATCTCTAGCGTCCTGTCCTTGGGGAGAATTTCTGCCTTAGACCACAGTCCTTTGAAGAGACATAAAGGGATGCATTTGTGGGCTTCACCCTGGCCGTTTTCCCCAGTCCATGGCCTCTCCACAATCTGCTGGAGAGAGCTCTGGCCTGCCCGCCCGCCGCCTTCTGTAAGTCGTGGCTGGAGGTTTGCAGAACCAGGAGCTCTATATCCACGCTCACAAGAACCCAGGGACAGATCTGATTTGGGGAATGGGCTGGGCAGTGTCCCAGTCACCTGAGACTGTCAGCCTGCTTCCTCCACTCCACCTGCTTCTGCCTATGGGTGGCTCCTTGGAGCAGCGTGACCTGTCCCTGTAGCTGCATAACCGTGCTGCTGGGCTGGTATGCAACGACTGTCACAGGAACTGCCACACACCACCAAAACTACTGCCAGTGCTGGTGGTGGCCCAGGGGTGCTACTCAGCACCAGGGTTGATGAAGTCTTGCTTCCTGAGACCTGCAATCTGCCCTGGCAAAAGACCCTTGTTGCCTGGAGTTCAGGATGGGATAGTAACTCCTCCACCTGCCTACACCCACAAAATACACAGCCTGTTACAGTACCCCTTTACAGACCGGTAGAGTTAAATAAATACTAAGTAGAAAGTGGCTGCAAGAGACCATCTGTTGTAGCTCAATTGCACTCGAGTGAGTAGATTTCTACATTACATTTTTTGTCTATAAAGATGAAATGTAATGCAGTTTGAAGGTAAACAGAGAGCTAATGGCATGTAAGCTGAGAGAAGTTTGCTGGGTGCTTGATGACATTCAGATCTGGGACCCTTCGTATTTGTTTTCTTAGACAACAGCCGGTGTTCTTCTAAAGAAAAGTGGTTTCAAGTTATGGAACTCTCCCCACATCAGTCTGTCCGCTGAGGAACAACTGCATGCTTTTCATAGGACCCTTGGTACATTGCAGGGAATTCTGGCAGGAGGTTTAGGTACACTTTTGCTTATGTCGGTGTGTCTGCCCCACCATCAGGGTTGGGTGGGGCCGACACATCCTCCAGAGTCCCTCTTGGAGGCCTTAAGAGGCCTCTGACTACAGAGTTAACAATGCCCTAGGCTTTTCTCCTCTCTTCCTGTTGTCCTCCTCTGCAGCCATTAGCTAGCAGGAGAGCTAACCTATCCTCCCAGGCCTGAATCCCTGGCCCTTATGAGGATATGCCCAACCCTTCCTCTGCCTGCATCCCTGAGGGTTGCCCCACTCTCCTGGGTTGATTGGCAATCAGGCGTGACTGGGTCAGACTGGGCTCCAGCCTCCCCCTCCATCTCCTTTAAATGGCTGCCCTGCCTCCTTCAAGCCAGCTGGTGCTAGTACCTTAAGGCTCAGAGAACACACACCCCTCCCTGTGGTGGCTGTTCCTCTCTTGGCACTATATATAATTACATAATTTATAACTGTCCAGGATAGAGGAAAACACTCACTGGGAGGGTATTATGCAAATAATTGTAGCCTTTTCTTCTAAGGACTGGGAAGGCAAAGTGGCTCTTCTGTATCTCACTGGAATTGTCCATCTAGACTGGTAGAATCAGTCTGCATCTATACATCATTGTTGTTCTGTCCCTGCCCCCATGCATGTTTCAGGGTTGCGTACAGATCAGTATGTACAGAAGACAGAATGGGTGTGTGTGGGAGTCTTCCCCGTGGGACCCAGTAGGATGGATTAGCATGTGCAAGGCCCCTCCTGTTCGTGATGGAAGATCTCAGGATTGGGAAACATTATGTCTGGCCCTTATTTTATAGGCACACTCTTCTCTGATGTTTTCAGGCATTGTCCTCATACTTGCAAAGAATGCAAGGCTAAGTTGGAAAGAAGCGAACTGGAAAAATCCAAGACTCCCATTTCTTAAAGGTACACTGGAAATTTTGCAGGATTTTAATATTTAAAGTGTTTCATACTTAAATACCTTACAATAATAGACAAACATAATCAGCCAAGTTATCATTTGTAGAATGGTGACAAATAATTTTAAGAGCTGTTATATTACTACTCTTGTTAAACTTGGAGGACTTTAAAATTAGAATTGACCCTGAACATTGTTGTTGCAAGTCAGGAAATGCATTGCTACCTTTCCAAACTGAGATGTTTAGATGATTTTAGCTTACTGCTTGACAGTGCTCTCCCTTCCTGGTTGCCGCCATATTTGCTCATTGTGCTCCACGAGTGACAGAGAGAATGTACTTGTGAATTGGCTAGTGTGTCTGTGCAAGATTATCACTGCACAATAACATGCGATGATAGACAAAGCACAACTCATCTCTTACTTTCAAGTATCCTCATTGACTTACTTAAACCTTGATTTACTGAAAGTGGCTTTAGACACAACTAAAGAAGTTTTGTCAAACACCTAGGTACTAGGTATATGTCACTGGTACAGCATCGTCTAACATTCAGAGAACTTCTGTAGGCTACTTCTACAGCCTGTATGTTTTCCTTTTAGCATTACCCTTTCAAACACATTTAAAATAACTCATTGAACTAATGGTTTTTCTTCTGTAGCTGCTGGAGAATCTACTCAAACAAGGTACCTGGAGATGGTTTATGCTGCTCACCCTGTAGAGCAGAGGCATTTGTTATGAGGGCTGGATCTGACATAAATGTCACTTTGTCAGGCCAGGCCATGTGTGCCATAAAATGTAACACGAGGTACCGGAGATATAAACTTTATAGATGCCAAGTGGCAATAGCAGGCTTGATTGGATTAGGTGTGATATGCAGAGGGGTAGGAGGCAATAGCAGCATTGATAATGGGAGAGGAAAGCTAGGTCTCAATTTGGTACAGGAGGATTCAGTCCAGGAGGATGCAAAGAATAAATGGAAATAAGTCTGAAGAAGCGAGCAGTGACTCACAAAAGCACATATCCTACCACAAATTTTGTTAGGTTTTACCTACCTATTAGAAACCACAACATTCAAAAATCAGTGGGGGAAAGCTCATGCCGTGGCACAAATTTTGCTAGTTCTTAAGGTGCTACTGGACTCTTGCTTCCTTCCACTAATATATATCTTTAGCCATAGCAACAGAACAGGATAAAAACATGTAACCAACACTAAATCCAAGCAAACACTAAATCCAAGCAAATAATAACAAATCAGTCATTTTTTTTGCAAAGATAAAAAAAACCCCGAAATCATAAAAAACACAACCCACACTTAAAATTGTCAACTTAGTAAATACACAGTCGGCAGTTGTCAGCAGTAAGCTAATTAAACTCAAGGAGATTTGTTTTCCTAATCACCGCAGCTAAGAAGGAAGCCACTATAACCGTGGTTTGATTATCAGAGGAATAATCAGACAATAACACTGAAACTACCCAAGGAAGAAAGGGAAGCTTTTCTTTTCTCATAATGGGAGTGATATATCTCTCTCTCTTCTTATTCCGCTTGGGGCAAAAAAGCATTATATGATCCATAGTTTCTATCATCTCTTGTCCACAATCGCAAAGTCGTTCCAAAAACGGAAGTCCCGTAAAACGACCAGAGAGCACCTTAGAAGGAAAGGAATTAAGTCTCGCCAAGGTGAAGGCTCTGCGTTGTCTTGGGATCTTTAAAGTATAACAATATGACGGGATAGCCTCAGGGGGGGCAAGACCCAAAGATAAACCAGAGCAAGTACATTGGGCTCTTTGAAGGGTATTATTGTAGTCAAGATCTTTTAGTTTTGATTTAATTTCTCTGAACCTTCCACTAAGAAAGAATGCAAGCTGTGCTGTTAGGTCCCCCCGCCCTTAGAACTGGTAAGAGGACACGCTCGACCAGCACCAATGGGAAGTCCCTCCTCCTGCTCCTCCCCCCCCCCCCCCCCCCGAAGAAGTGTGCAAGCACACAAAAGCTTATACCTGGAAAAAAACGTTGGGCTTAAAAGTGCCACAGGACTTCCTTTTCTCTCTTTCTTTCTCCTTCCCCCTCCCTCTGCAGGGGAGGAGCCTTCAGCCAATTGAGGGAAGGAGGCTTGGCTTTCTTTCTCTCCTCTGCAAAGCAGAAAATAGGAGAGACTGAGCAATAGGAACTGCACTGAAGGAAACAGGAAGCAACAGAGAAAACCAGTTGCTCACAGGCCAGATAGCCCTGCAGGGGCCAGATGCGGCCTGTGGGCCACCTCTGTAGAGTATTCTACTTGCTCCAGTTGTTGTCTGTCTTTTAAAAACAATCAAGAATTAGGCACTTCTGAAATTGAGGGTAATCTATATGCTTTAAGTCTTCAATTTAGGACAGTTTTTATCCTGAATAGCTATAGTTATTCTCAATCAGCATTAAAGGAATTGTGTATCACTGCAGTTCTTTTTTTAATTTCAGATCTGGTTGAATTAAGCAATAATCATGGTACCTGCTCTGCTAAAGGAACAACCTCGACATTTTGTAAAAATCTACTTTAAAGCCTATTGTATATCTTAACAAGATTTTTAATAAAGATACAAAGTTTAAGAGTTAATTTGTTTTACATTTCATAGGTGTAGATAGTGAATGTTTGACCTTTCAAGAACATTACCACTATTGCTTCTTTTAGAACACTACCCTTTCAATTCTGGATATCAGCTGTGTCATCCAAAACAGTGCTACATCCTTCTAACTCTTTAGGATGGCATGGTAAGCATGCTGCTCTGAGCGTTTGTCAAATAGTTAAAACAATACATTGGAAGGATATCTGGATCCAATGTTGTGGAGTTGCCCCAGGTTGTGATTTGGTAAACTGAATTCATGTATGAATGTAATAACCAGTGTAAACATACTTGTAGCTGTAAGTTGATAAGGAAGCCTACTAGGAAATTGCACTATTAAAATACAAGTTGACTAGGAAGAGGTTTTAATGCAGATAAAGGGATCGTGGTTAGAGGGAGTCCATTTTTATTGCTAAAGTCCAAGCTGGTTTGTTTGTTACACATTCAGGAGAGGGAGAGGAGGAGATTGGATTTATACCCCGTCCTTTACTCGGAGTCTCAGAGCAGCTTACAAACTCCTTTCCCTCCCCCTCCTCACAACAGACACCCTGTGAGGTAGGTGGGGCTGAGAGAGCTCTGACAAAAACTGCTCTTTTTCAAGGACAGCTCTGAGAGAACTATGGCTTGCCCAAGGTCATCCAGCAGGTGCAAGTGGAGGAGTGGGGAATCAAACCTGGTTCTCCCAGATTAGAGTCCAAGCACTTAACCACTACACCAAACTGGCTCTCTGAATTAAGTTGAAAGCAGTTGCTTTTTGGAAAGAATCTCCTTGGGAATCAACTTCGTATCAGACTCTAGGAACAAAATTAGAAACAGGAGTCTGTGTCAAATGATAGATGGACTTTTAAAGAGTTGTGCACACAACTGGAGCTTCACTTTTACTTATGCAACAGCTCCCATTGTTAAAAGAATTTACAGTTTAAACTGTTAAACTTGTAATACAAAGATAAGCACGATAGTACTCAAATTACTATTTCCAAGTTTTTAAAATAAAAAGGTGTCCATTCTAGATTCTCGGGGGAAAGGATATGGTTTAAAGGTTTCACATTTCTCACATAACCTGCAATTTCTCTGCTACATGGTAGAATAAAAAAATTCTATACTAATTGTCAGCATATATGCATCACAAAGTTTTCAAACTTTTTACTTAAGATTTGTGGACTTCCTGTCTTTCAAAGTAGATTTTACTCATTAAAGCATTTACACACAATCCCATTGAGTACAAGAAGTTTCCCATGTAGACCTATTCTTACAGGACATGTCAGATATCTCACATCAAAGTTGGCAGCAGGCATGGAAATAAGTGTCAAAACACTTAGCATCTATGAATCAGTTGCATATGTTCGATGAGACAGTATAGGAACAGTCTTGGCCTTGAGACCTAGTACATGGATCAGTGAAAAATCACAAGACACGGGATGCTCATTTCTCCTACAAACAGAAATAGGATCAGCCTATCAAGTTCAAGTCTAATTCCTCGCACTAGAAGAACATCACAAGTTTGAATGTATGATGCACAGCCTTACACCAAGTCACAGCATCAGTTTATCTAGTGCAGCAGCATCCTCAGAGATAGGCAAAGGCACTCCAGTGGGCTGCTGCTGCTTTCCCCCAAGACAATTGCAAGCCATTCTACCGACAGTCTTTTAACAAGATACTAGAATGAAGCATGTGTAAGTAAATCATGTGCTATACCCCGACCTACGGACCCTTCACAAGTGCTATGTAACCACAGAAGTACCTCTCCAATGACTGAAGTGTAACACTTGTGCTGTGGTTCAGCTTGCATAGAGGAACTAAAACTATCATTCTCTTATGCCCTTCAATTGCTACTTTCTATATACTGGTTACCCCTTTTGTTCTTGCATGATTATGTGGATTATGATTAAACAAATTAAGGGGGTCTTAAACGATTGACCCCTTCCCTTTCTGCAGCCGTGCACTGCAAGCAGATCACAAGTATACACCAATACTACATGTTTCCTCTCTTTGCAAATACAGTAATAGCCGCTTTAAAAAGTGTAATATTTTCATTAGCTATCCTTTTTTGTGTGTAAGTTAAACACTGTTAGGGCAACAATCTATTCTTTTACCTTATCAAGCGAGAAGACAAATGTATTGGGTTTTTCTTTTAATTACAGTGGTCTGTATTCCAAAGAGTACAGCAGGACATTCAGATACATTTGACCAACACTGATAAAGCTGAAATATTTGATTGAAGAGAGGTCTTCTAGAGGTAGAAAGCTTTTCACTCTTCCCAAGCATCTCCATACTTATTAACTTTAACTACAAAAAAAAATAAAAGTGAGATCAAGAAACTTGAGATCTGATCTGTTGAACAAACTATACCAGTAAGTGTTTAATACAGGGCAGAACTGTTATGCAGGAAGGTCATGACTCCTTCCGTGCTGGCTCCGACTATCATAACAGCATATGTGCACCATCACGGAAAACCTCTAAAAGGCATCAGGTATTGCACATCAACTACGACTACGGCTTACTTGACCTTTAGGACATCTTAACAGCATTCCGATTATCAAAAACAACTACGTTGACACTTTAGGGCTACACCAACAGAGCTGATTCGTTTGGGTCATGCAGGATACGGCTAACTCACGTTCACATGGGCAGAAATTTGAATGGCCGAACTAAGTTTGTGCAATAGGCAACATGTAAGGCAACATGCAGGAGGTCTTGCTAGTCAATTCACTGGTGCATTTCCTTCCTCTAGCAAACAAAAAATCTCCTCTATCATAATGTCAGCTTATTTGGCATGTATGCATTGTTTCATGGAATTTCTTCCCTATGTGTAAACACAATGCCTGGAAAGTGCCCCAAAAGAGAATAAATTATGATCCAAGCTCACACACTTTCTACTAATAGTCTATTTCATTCTTAGTTTTCCCTGTGCAGTTTTGTTTTCTAATCAGAAACACACAGTCTCAAGGTTGGTGCCAAGTGCAGTTTCCTTCCAGTAGAATGGTAAACAAACGAATACAATGGCACATCCTCTGGCATTACACTCTGCATTCATAAACTAGTTGTGGGGGGAGGTTGGGGCAGCCTTCTGAAGGAACTGGCAGTTTGCAAACATTGGATAAAGAATTGTTTATTATGAGAGCTTCTTAAAGGTCAATAAAACTGACAAGGAAATCTTAGTTGAGTTTGCTCAATCTCTGCGTTAGAAAGATGCATTCCAGAAGGGTTACTCTGCTGCAACCAAAACAACAGAGAGTCTCGTAGCATCTTAAAGATCAATTATTGGTGCAGATGCTCTTGTGAGCCTCAGCCCACGTCAGCAGATGACTGATACTCTGGAAATATTTAATAGTCTCCTCAGGCTGTCGCTCAACCAGTGGTCTCCGTTGCTGACATCTCAGTTTTCTTGGGTGTCATGCCTCACAGCCCAACATCTTATCCACCAAAACACCACTCTACCATTTAATGAGATGATTTGTTTTGCTTTTTCTCCATGTCATCACAAAGAAAAAATCCTCCTTCGACTTTATATCCTCCTCGCAGATACTACTACCAGATCCCTAGTTACTTGTAGGTAGAAGCTTAAAAATACCCACACCCCTCAGCTTTTTACTCATGTGTTCCAAATCTTGTATCATTTTACTCTGTTCTGATTTCTCCCATTGGCTCACTTGATGCATCCTGAAATGGGGTCCTGCATTCCTGGCCCACTTTCCCTGCAACAACACCGTAACTTGTTTAGATTCAGCTTACGGTCTATTCAAAGGTATTAATGCACAAAGAGCCATTCCTTTATTCCCATTTGTATATTTGATCTTTCTCAACTTTTAATGTGTTTTGGCTAAACACAACCTTTTTTTTTTTAAGCTGAGATTTTTAATTTATTAAATCAGTCCCTTTTCTATAGTATCTGTTGCTTTCTCGTTTTGTACATTTTGACAAACCCAATTAATGCATTTTTCTCCACCTATTCCATATTTACACTAATTACCTGGGGGCAATACATGACCATTACTTGCTGGATCTCAGCTGAACCTGTAAACAGTCTGCACTGAGAAAAGCATCACCTTTGAAGCAATAGCTGTGATTTTAATTTTCAAAGACTATTTTACTCATGCTAATAGCTGATGTTGCAGTCGTCCACTGTTGAGGATGCATCTATGAACTTACACAGGGATGAACAACAATTTAGCAACAGAATCCTGTGAAGCAGCTTTTTGTACAATATCAATTACTACCATCCCTTAGTTTGGCCATTCCTTTCCAGACAGTGATTTACTTATGAGAGACATCCCATTAAATTGTATATTCACCTTACTACAATACATAACTCTCCCATTTTCCGCCCATGAATATCTGAAGAACAGAAAACCTAAGTGCATTCTCTTTATCCATTAAGAAAAGAAGTCTAACATGAGAGATGTACACTGCAAAGTTGTAACAGCCCCTCACCCCACCGAAATACAACCCAGAAGGGGAAAAGGAATAATGTTTGTATTTTACTCCTTAAGAGTACCACGGCAAAGCTAAACATGAGCATCTGTGTCCCCATCACAACTGTAGAGGAAGTCATTAGCAAATACTTCAGCTGATAAACAATTTACCTTCTTTCTTTGAAAGTCTTTCCTGTGGTGACCTTGATGGAAGTTCTGACTTCTGTGTTATTCCTGCTTCGTATAGCTCTCTGTTTCTGTTCCTCAATTCATCATAGGTGATTCCTTTTTTCTTTGGACTGGCTTCGAGTGATGGACCAGGTTCTTAAGGGACAAGAGAAAAAGAAAACCAGATAATGATGATAAAATTACTATTCCATCAACCTTTCAGTTCTGAAAAGCTGTATGACGAGCTACAACAGCAGAGACAAATTTGGCTACACCAAGGTGATTTTCTTTTGTTTGTCTCTCAGAAGCCACATCACCCTAGTAGGGGGTGATACAGAGGACAAACCTCATTTCAACTCATTTTTGAACTCTGAATTGATACAGCAATCAAGTAGGATATGCTCTATAGCCTCTATTTTCCCACTGCCACACGGGCATGACCTTTCTTAGTATGGTCGCTTTACATAGCACCCACTGGTAACCACTAAGGGTAGTACATTTAGGCATCTGAGGGTAAAAGCTGTTGTATATTTAAGAACAGTTAGATTTTTTACATAATTTGGAATCTTTTTGGGAGGAGCAGGTACGTCTGGACCTCAGAGTGGTGCTTAAATAATCAAGCTTCTCAATGCGTTCTTTCACTGTATTGAAAAGTTCTTTGAGGGCCCAGTAACAGCTCATATCTGGAGAGATCTTGATATTATGTTGTCATGGCTCAGGTGGGGGTGTCCCCTGATGGTGCCACCACTCTGGATTTAGGTTCCCTTGAGAAGGCCCAGAGCACCCTCCCAAGACCTTCAGACCTCCCTTTAGGCCGAATAACAGGCGTGAGGACCAGGCAGAGTAAAACAAGGAAAAGGTTTATTTTATAGGAGGTCAAACAACAAGGTGCAGAATAATAACAGTAAGTGGGTGAAAAGAAATCAAATGCCCTAATGCGTCTAAATATACTTTCCCTAGCTCACTATCTCAAGTGGCCTTACACTACTCACCCCTCCCCAGAGGTCATTTCGGGGGGGATCGCGGGGGAATGCAGTTCCCCCGGGTGAGGTGCAGGGGGGCGGGGCACATGACGAAGCCCCGCCCCCTGCTTCCGGCCGCCCCGCTTCCAGCCCTCATTCAGCCAGGAGGAGGCAGGAGAAGAGGGAGGGTAAGCTGCTTCCTCCCCGCCTCTCCCCACCCCTGCCTGCCTGGGGCCAGGGAGGGCCTTGGTGGGGCTTCCTCGCACTCCCACTGGCCTTGCAGGTCCACTACCGGGCCCCTGATGTCAGGGGGTGTGGCATATGCTAATGAATTATGCTAATGAGTTCCCCTAGCTCTTTTTCTACAAAATGACCCCTGCCCCTCCCTCAGGATGAGGGTGTTTCCCCTGCAGCAGCCTTCTTTCTGGCTCTGCCCTCTGGAAGAACAGCTCTTCCTGCTGCTCTAGAACTTTTATTCCCAGCCCTCCTCTTTTCCTATTGGTCCATTTTGGCTCCAAAACCTCCCAAGAGCTTCTGGGAATTGTAGGCCCAACCTCACCTAGGCCAGGCTCTCTGGGCCTAGTAGGCCTCTGGTAGCACAGCCCAGATCATGACATATGTAGTCTGGAGTCCAGAAATTTATCCCAGGTGGTATAAGATTTATCCTGTCTTACCAGATACAGGAGTCCCTCGGAGGGGGAAGAAAATCAAAAGTGGAATAAAAGAATATGTAACAGCAGCAAATGCAGAAGGAATATTTAAAGGGAATGCCTTTATTCTGGAGTAGTCCTCCAGGGGGCTTTGGCAGGTAGAATGAAAACACAACTGGAACAGAAAGAAATTACCCATCGAGGGACATCTGCAGGGAGGACTCAGAAGGCATTGGAAGTATTAAGCACCCCCCCACCTCACCCATCATCCCTTGCACTTGCACTAATGGGCAGACCTGTGGTTAGAAGATACGTGTTCATCAGTATAACCTACAATTCCACCGCAATGCTATCTTTTTTTTAAAGCTGAAGAGCCCACAACTGTAAGCCTGCAGAATACTAAACCACTATAAGCATTCCAGCTTTCCCCAGAAAGACATAGTTCAAGACACACTCTACCTTGAGGGACACTGTCCGTTATTCCGGTAGGGGTAGATTCATTCATGGAAGAACTAAAAGGGACTGGTTCATAGACTGAGCGAGAAGATTCCGTTCCACGATTATCCCCAGAGTACATGGAAGAAAGTGGTGCTTCCGCCGCTCTAGAAGTTTCAAAAGGGGACGAGTAAGGCACACTTGAGAATTCCCGTGTTTGAGGATAATGTCTGGGGGGAAAGATCACAGTCGCAATTCCTTAAGAAAAAAGTGAGCTCTTTCTTTCAGCATTGCCCTTACTTCCATCCCACCCAGGACAGTAATAAACTGAAGTTTATGGTAGCCAGGACAACTTCATTAAATTAGCTGAAGCAATTATTTGCAGTAAAGAAGTGAAGCAATTAGGGGGGGGGGGGGGAGACACAAAATGTAGGGGAAGAGAACGGAAGTGGGGGGATGAGTACACTGCATCTTAGAGATAGGACATATGCAAATGAGTCGTTGTCATGGTTCTATTAAGTAGAAATTTTAAGGAAGCACAGAAATATAGAAACAGACATTTGCTAAGTAGGCTCTGTGGTGACCTGATAATACCCCAAAGGTTACCAGGTTGTCAGTCAGCTACCTGGCAAATATTTATTTATTTATTATTTGTCTTTATAGCCCGCCCATCCCGCAAGCGGGCTCAGGGCAGGTAACATCATAAAAACAGTCCAATAAATACGATTAAAATTAAAACAAGTTAGAAAATTTAAACAATCATGTACATTAAAACCCATTCACACTTCTGACTGTCGCTGGTTGTACTGGTCTTAAATGGAAAAACACACTTATTTGTAAAACTACTGCAAAATCAAGCGTATATGACAATCTGCCCCTCTATTAGTCAGTCTCTCTATTAAAATTAAAAGGGCAGATTTCCCAGCTTGTACTTTATAGGCTTCCTGATGGATGATGTCCTGTTTTACCTGGCAGCTTCCTGTTGATGCTAGTAGAGGACTGCCTCTTCCCATCTCTTCAGAAAGACGCAGCCACAGATCTCCCTAGGTGTGAGGTTTTCCTGTTTCACTCCTGGTGCTTCCCCCCCTCTGCCATGGTCCCAGGGACTCTGAGGTCTCAGAATCGGGAGGGCTGGGGTTTCATCACCCCGATAGCCTACTCCCGGTCTCTGGCTCTCTCTCTCTGGCACGGACCTTAGACAATATTCCTCCTCGACCTCTGCTGCTTGTGCTTTTTTATCCTTGCGCCCCCCCCCCCCCCCCCCCCCTCTCCCGTCCCTCTTCTGGTCCCTTGAGTGAGTGGCGGATTCTCTTGTCTGTCTCCCCTCTCCACCTTTCCCATTGGTCCTTTGCCTTTCCCCCTTAACCCACTCTGCTTTAACTCCTCCCTTGTGTTTCCTCCGCCTGTTTGTCTTTCCTGGTGTGCTTGGGTGTGGCTGTGCTCGGCATCTTTACTTCTTCTCCCCGGTGTTCCCATCTCAGTCTATCCCTGCTAGCCCCTTCCCTTCCCCACTCCCTCCTCCCTCTTTCCTCACCCTGGCCTGGCCTTGTGGGGGCTCCCGCTTTGGAGCCTCGGGAGCCCTGCCCCAGAATCCATTCTGTAGCCATGCCAGGCTCTCCGGGTCCCCCATGGTGCAGGGAGGTGAGGCGGCATTTCACCAGGTGTCAGCTTCCTGGATAGCTTCCCTGCCAGTGGGGTGAAGCTTTGCCAGGGGCCTGCCCGGCTCGCTATGGCTGGCTTGGGAATACCCACAGCTGGCCACGGCTCCCCGTGCATTGTGGAAACCCTCTGTCAGGGCTCTGCCTGGCGCTCCTTTGGTGTGGCCCATGGCTTCTCCTGTTGCCCTGCGGTTTTAGGGGACAACGGGGCTGGACACAAGGCTATCTGTGTTCTTTCCCCTGCCTTCTCCTTGATGGTGAATCATTCTTACCTTCAGCCTCTTACTCATCCAGCTATTGGAAGGCCTCAGCTGGTAGCTTTTGTCACTTTTTCTTCCTGCCAATATTCTGCCTTTCAACTCCCTTTCAGGTGCTTCTTGGTTGCTCCTCCCCTCTGCCTCTCGCAACTGCCCCTTATGCACCCTCTCAGGGAGGTTCAGTCCAATCAACAGCTAACACTTGTTCAAGACTGGTTCTGACTGGTTTTGGAAGTCCAGATTTCAGGAGTCCCTTAAAGCATCCTTCCTAATTGGAGACCTATTCCGAGCTTGAAAGCTCTTCTTGATGACCTTGTAACCTCCACTTAGCAACAGTCAGGTGCTCTACCCAATGAAAATACATTATCACACTTTGAAGGTGTCCTGCTGTTCCCTTAAAGGACCTCTATCCATACAGAACACAAATGCTGAAAGAAGAAGGAGATTGGATTTATACCCCGCCCTTCACTACCCAAAGGTGTCTCAGAGCGGCTTACAAACTCCTTTCCCTTCCCCTCCCCACCACAGACACCCTGTGAGGTAGGTGGGGCTGAGAGAGCTCTTGACAGAAACTGCTCTTTTTCAAGAACAGCTCTTATCAGAACTACGGCTTGCCCAAGGTCATCCAGCCAGGTGCAAGTGGAGGAGTGGGGAATCAAACCCGGTTCTCCCAGATTAGAGTCCGCGCACTTAACCACTACACCAAACTGGCTCTCTATTACAGTATTTGTTTTCTTTGTTATAGAACTTGTTTCTCCACAGCCCCTCCCACGTCTTTTTTTGTTAAAGGGATTTTTCTCTTTGGGGATACTGTCTAAAGCACAACCTCAGAACTGTACTCACGCTTTGACATATAGCACTTACAAAGGCTTCATGTTAAGATTCTTAGTCAATGAGGTGTGACTCAGCTTGCTCATGGTCAGAAGCAAAGAGCATGCATGTACACTTGTGAGTGACCCGCAGCAGATTTACTGAAGACTTACCACCATCACCACCACCACACACCATTCATAACGTGACATAATTTTATTATTGCAACAAATACAGCTTGCTTACTTTAGTCCTGCACAAACATCACAAGCACCTGGCAGCTGTTATTTTGGAAGACAAGGAAGAAGTGTGGTTTTTCAAAGCTCAGTTGCATGGAATGACCAGCAATGAAGCTTTAGTGGAATGTTGTTTGTATAGGAACTTCGCATGCTCCTCCCAAATGTAAAATCTAACAATAAAATTTCAGCTTTTTAAAACCCCACCCCCCAAAAAACTCCAAACAGTTTTTAGTCCTCAAAGTGTGGGGGTAGACCACCTCCTGTAATGACTCAAACTAGTGCGCAAGGGTAAGACTTGAGTCGTCAATGCAACTCCCGCACCACTCCTTACTATTGCTCTGCTTTCTCTCTCTACGCTCCATATCCTTCGCCACTGCCTTCTCCCCCCACTCCTAATTCGTATTTCTTGGAACATTCCCAGTTCTTTGAAAGCCTAGATCACAACAGAATATTATTTTCCGTCATGGGCCAGCTTGACCAGCCTGAGAACAGTGTGGCTGAAGACTCCTTAGGAGTTGAGGAGCCACATGCAGCCAGCTCTGAACCAGCTGAAGTTAACGGATAGATCCAGGTGGTCAGCCGTGTAGGTCTGAAGCAGTAGAACAGATTTAGAGTCCAGTGGCACCTTTAAGACCAACAAAGGTTTATTCAAGGTATCAGCTTCCATGTGCACACACACTTATTCAAATACACTGGAATGGTAGGTAAGGTTCAAACTTATAGACAAACGTATACACAGCTGTTCAGCCCCAGTCTATAAGTCTGAACCTTCTCTACCATTGCAGTGTATTTGAAAAGTGTGCATGCAGGGACTTCCAGTTTATGGATCAGCGATGGCGGTCGTTCTCCCCGGACCTCGGGGGAGCGACTCGCACACCAGCGGTATGGAGGGGTGCTACCTCAAGTAGCACTCACACGGAGCCTTTGTGATAGGCTCCAGGCCATAGGGCTTTTTGAGGGGCAGCCTCTTTGACGGCTAAATGCCGGAGAATTGAGGCTTCCCTCCGCCCTGATGGTCCTGCTGCTGTGTGGCCCTCGGGCACAAGCTGATTCGACTGGGACAAGTGCTGGACATCGAGCGGAATATCGATTACTGTGAGCGAGGTCAGAGAATGAATGTGAGTTCAAAATAAACTGAATATTTTAAAAGCGAACTACCCCCCCAGTGGGAAAAGCGGAGCGCAAAGAGGGATGCCTCTTATGCGAACGGACAGATAAGCATAACAAAGGGGGCAGGGGGGAAACAAGCAGCAATTTTGTTTTGAGAGACATACTTGAGCGCTGACATCGAGGTGACAATTTTTCGAGTCCGCGAGAAGCGGTTTGGAATTGTAAACAATGGTATAAAATTGCAGCCTCGCAAAGAAAGTTTAACGCGAAACTGGCAGGTAGTCAGAGCCCAAAACCGGAAGAGGGAGCAGACGTCATTAAAATGTTAGCGGATATGCTCAAGCAGGTGATGGAGCAACTTGATGGTATTAACCAGCAACTGATTTCGCTGAATCAAAACTTCACATCCCAGCAGCTCCAACTGGCAGAAACGGCGAAGAAAGGTGGAGCATACGACTGAGAGAATTAAAGAGATAGACACCACAAACAAGAAAATGAAGAAAAGAATGGGGGAAGTTGAAGCAAAACAAAACTTTCAAGAAAACCGTTTGTTACAGCTACAAATGGAAAAAGCCAACATGATTCTCAGATTCCAGGGAATTTTGTACAGGTGGGCGATCCCAGAGGGTGTCATCTTTAAAATCAACGACAAAAGAGAAAAGACTGACTCCATTTTTAAAGCCAAAGAATTTTTGAGATACCAGTTGGGATTGGAGGAAGAATCCAAAGATGAAGAATTGAAATCAAGTGACTCCGCTACCTCTGGAACGGATGAGGACTTTGCTGTAGAAACGGGAGCAGGCGCAACAAAAGTTACATATGATTTCAGAGACAGAAAACCGAAGTAAAGGCAGAAGGACTCTGAAAATTGCCTTTTGAAGCAAATAACAAAAAGATGCTCAGAAAGTTCTCTCACAACAACTAACATACTAACATTGAAGCCGAGACAAACAAGAACTCTACAAGTATATTGTTGTACTAACACTTTTATTAATAACACTTAGATTAACACGGATATGATGTCCTCCTCTTGGGTTTTTAGTGTAGTGTGGTTATCTATCCTTTATCCTTAGATGTAATCCCCTTCCCTTATATTTTCTTTGTAGTTTTGTAGTCTTATAAAAAAAATAATAAAAAATATCCCTCCGGGGATTTCAAAAAAGAAAAGAAAGAAAAGTGTGCATGCACACGAAAGCTCATACCTTGAATATTTTAGTTATTTATTTGTTTGATGTATACCCTACCCTCCTCGCCGACCTTTGTTGATCTTAAAGGTGCCACTGGACTCTACATTTGTTTTAAAGTTAGTGAAGTAGACATACAGAAGACTCAGGATTCATTGCCGGCAGCTGACGTTAGCCCACCCATGCCTAGCTCTGAAGTAGCCAACGAAGCACAACTGCAGGAAAGTAGCCCACTAGGCTCCTCCTCATTAATTGAACAGCGAAGAGAAAAGCTCCGACAAGACTTAAGGACACATAGACAGATCAGGCTTGTTGAGAAATGCTTATATAAATCAGACCTGGAGAACTGCAGATTATGGAAGCAACTCCTCACAACCCTGTGAATTTCATGACCACTACTCTCTGGCTCCTGTGACCTTTGGACTGACCCTCAACTCTGCTTTTCAGACCTGCCTGAACCTTGCAGATCAATGAGCTTGGACTGCCTTGACTCTTGCTTTCCTGATCAACCCATGAACTCTGATTGCGGCTAAACTGGTATTTGATCTCTGGACTGGACTCTTGATTGTGATCTCGCTCTGTTGCCTTACTCTGCCTGTATTCCAGGACATTACCTTTAAATTCTTAAGAATTTATAACATAAACACCACCTCCACTTTCAAGTCCACTAAGAAAGCCCTTTTGACTGCAACTTCCATCTGCTGAGGTGACACTGCACTGCATTCCCACCAGCAGCCCACAACTGTAGAACTCTATTCTGCAGGAGACTTTGCCACAGGCAGTGCTGAGCAGTTTTCTACAAATGCTGCATGCTCTCTTTAGGCTATATCAGCCGTGGATAAACAGGCAATTTAACTGCCCTTAAAGGACTATACATGATGTGTACTACTATTTATTTCATTAGCTTCATTTAATTTAGCACCGTCCTCAGCCCCGTGTGCTCTTGGAATGGAGCTTATGGGAGATCAGAGTCTGACTTGCCCTGGCACAGCTCTCATGCTGCAAGCCTCCATGCCACGTTCCTTTTGGCTACTGGAGGAGATGTGGAGAGTCACAACATGCTGAGTGACCTCTCTGCAGCAAACACATCTAAGCAAAGTGAGCCAGGTAACGATCACCTGCTACAGAGATAAATTATAACACAGACGAGTAATGAGTCAAATTGCAAGTCTTCTAAGCCAGATCTACAGCCACTGACTACACCAGTTAACAGAAGAATGTAACCTGCTCAGCTCAGAATATACACCAGCTGGGCCGCCGTTATCATGCACAGATCAATTTCTTTGTAGAGGTCTAATGTTAAGGATCCCAGTACACAATTAAAGCTGTATCTGTTCTGTATCATGTATGTTCCAGTACAGCAAACTCTAAACTTCATTTGACCACTCTTGACCAAAAAGCAGGGCTGTGTGTATTTCAGAATCACACTCTGAGAAACTCACAAAGTTTCTAGCTCTTGTATGTAGGCTAGAAATTAAGTGGGCAAGGCCTGGTTTGTTATCAGCAGTATTTCCAGCCAACAGGAGGCCTGTGTAAGACAGTATACCTCCCCACAACTAGCAGAAGCAAAATGATTGAAAAATAGCCACTATATATGATTTATTTATATAGGATACATAGAAGAACCTGGATTACCTTGACAAAGACCTTCAATTGTTTTCATATAGAACATACAGTCTTGACTAAGTATTTTCCAAAATAAACTGCAAGGCAGATTTGCTCCTCATTTCTCCTTCAAAAAGAACAACAGGACTCATCAAATTTAACTCACAACTCTTCAGGAGGAAGATCTAATAATGTTAATAAACGGTCTGAACTGGGAACTCAAAATGTCTTATCTCAGAGCCTCACTGGTATCTCTTCACTTTTTTTTAGTCCGGAGGACCATCCAGTTTGTACTCTTATGTTAAAGCTGCTAGATTGCCTGTTCTCTTCCCTCCCCAATAGCTCCCCAATTTAACATCTCAAGAGTTCTTGATCCTTCTGGCTGGCATCTATAGATGAGTAATAACACAAGGTCAGTGGCTTCCAAATAGAGTTCTTGGGAGCTGATAGAGGATTCCTCAAGGGTGGTAAACAAGCTTATTGTCTAGAATTCCTGACCTCCTTCAGTGTGTAGATGCAGGGTATATTTGCAACATGAGTTCAGTTTTGTGCAGGATCAGATTGATAAAGTCTAAGTATGATTAGTATTGTTTTATTAACTGGCAGCCCAGCCTCACAGACTCCCCGTCAGCCCACAGAGATACCCTAGATGACAAATTCATTCAAAATGTTCCCCAAATGCAGGAACATTGAAAAGAGCTGATCTAAGACGCACATTGCCAGCCTAACCCACACTACTTCTGCCCTTTGGCGGGAGCAATGTGGGGAAGATCTTCACAAGAGGGGCAGCAGGTTGCCTGCTGAGGTAAAAATTAGAATGGCAGACTTTTCAAACAAAAACAAGACAGCTAACCAACCAGGACTTGTGGGCTCGGAGCAACTGGATGTATCTACCTCCTGGATCCCATCCACCTTCCTCTCCCTACTGTTCTTAACATAAGTTTTACTTGATAGTAGAAATAAACTCTACACAATACACATACAGAACACAACTTGGCCACTCTATTCAAATATACTCAGACCCTCATAAACTGATTTGTGCTGATCTACTTTGTTTCCTCAGAACAACCTTTAGGTTGGAGGCCAACTCTAGTGCTGATGTTTTCCTCCCATTTTGCTCCTCTCCCTTGCTAAAGCCTTTGGCTAAGCCAATGGAGAACCACTCTCATACACACCTGATTGGTTCATCTGAAATATTCCTGACCCCCTCAGTAAAGAGAAAAGTACTGAGAATAAAATATGGGAATGTGCATTCCTTTCCTCAGCTTAAAACCCCCCCCCACTTCCCCCATTATCCTTGGTAGCAGTCTTATGCCGACACAAACCCAAACTATTACAAATTTGAGCCCAAGTTCAATTTTATGTAGGATTTTTTAAAAACCAGCTTCAAACCCTAGCCTCTAATTAAGGTTAGAACTGACCCCTTTATGTGAAAACTCTCAACAGTTCCAAGCTGATGCTACAGCGCAGATTACAGAGCACAATTTGTTTCCACAGTCATATAAAGAATAAAAAAGAACGCCACTCAAAAGAACTGAGTGTTAGTATTTAAGTGAATTTCTTAGAGAACGTTATATGAGCAACAAATTCAGGGGTCATTTTCTGCAGGAGCGCACAGGAGCGGAGCTCCAGCAGTAAAGAGCCCAGGGGGCGGGCACATGCAACAAGCCCTGCCCCCTGCTCCCAGCAGCCCTCAGTCACAGCAAGAAGAAGCAAGGTAAGTTGAAGAGCCCCCCCCCGGGCCCCCAGTCCAAAACAGTCCAGTGGCACCTTTAAGACCAAATTTTATTTAGGCAGAAGCTCTCCCTCCTCTGCGAGGACAGATCTGCACTTTCCCCCCACCCCCAATAGCTAGCAATCCAAAACAGTCCAGTGGAGCCTGAGCGGTGGGCGTTGCCTTCTGACACACTTCCAGTGATGTCAGGGGGTGTGGTATATGCAAATAAGTTATGCTAATGAGTTATGCTAATGAGCTCCTACACCTTTTTTTTCCTACAAAATGACCCCTGGAATATCATTTAAAAAGATCTTACTCAGGTGAAACAGGTCTACGTAGCCTCAAAGCTTCTCCCAGCGGTGAATTCTCCAGTTGCTTAAACTTCTCTTGGCATACCCTCATATAGGAAAGCTTGCCACCGAGGTAGCCGCATAAACCAGCAACTTGTTTTGCAAAGGAAGACAAAACACTGATCTAAGCCATTTCAGAGTATGCAATGCTTAAAACATATTTTAAAATATATTTTTTTAAGAGTGTAGTATCTGAGAATGAAATTACACTATATACACATATACAACAACAACAACAAAGTTTAGCTTTGAGCTCTAAACCACTTCTGGTCTTTCTAGAGCTTCTTAACTGAAGAAAAGTATTTGGCATTTTCATGGCAACAAGAGAGGGTTCATGAAATGGTCCAGAAAACAAATCAGCACCAGATACATCAGGCAGAAAAGAAAGAGTTGCCTGCTTTATGAAGAGGAGGAGGAATAAGAGGAAGAGGAGGAGGAGATTGGATTTATATCCGACCCTACACTACCCAAAGGAGTCTCAGAGCGGCTTACAATCCCTTTCCTTTCCCCTCCCCACAACAGACACCCTGTGAGGTAGGTGGGGCTGAGAGAGCTCTCTCGAGGACTGCTCGGGAGAGAACAGCTCTGAAAGAACTTGTAACTGGCCCAAGGTCACACCAGCAGTTACATGTGGAGGAGTGAGGAATCAAACCTGGTTCTCCCAGATTATAGAGTCCGCACTCCTAACCACTAGACCAAAGCACAATGTGAACTCTCAGTTGTTTCTTAGCAACGCTTGCATTCTTCAACAACTGGCCAGCAAGAGTGACGATTACTCCCTAAAAGTCTCACTGTAACAAGACTAATAGCGCCATCCTAAGTAGAGTTTTACCCTTTGAAGCCCATTGGGCATAGGCTGGAGTAACTCTGCACAGGATTGCACTGTAGATTTCTTATGGAGGAGGATAATCTATTCCAAATCCATCCCGATCCCTGTCTGTAAGGATCTGGACCTTCCAGATTTGGTACTGGGAAAGGCCACAGGGATTGCTTTCTATCAGCCAGATACCACCTCACATGTTATTGAGTATTGCCTTTCTCTGCTTTTTTTGCCTGCACGTACTTAGGCCCGATAAAGATGGAGGAGGCTCACTAAACTCTGCTCCAAAGTATCCCCAGTGAAAATTTAGGGTCTTCCCATGCAATCTTACTTCTTGCAATAGTTGCACTATTGATATTCATTTGTTACTGAGACCGCTTTGCTAGCAGCTTCCGATGATACTGTTTCTTTTGCAGGAAAAGTGCCACTTTTGCCCATGCTCAAGCTATAATGTCAAGATGCCATCAGGACAAGACCACCTCTCCCATGCCTGCCACAGAATTGTTAAAAGACTTAAAGTCGCTGCCGTGGATCTGATAGCAACCCGACATCTCAACAGGGATCCATGAAATAAAATGGAAAGGTGTCATAGGATTCAAACTTACATGCAAGTTTTGGGAAAGAGCCAAATCTTGAATGCGTGGAAAGAATTCCTGAAAACAAGAAAAACAATAACTGTAAAAAATATATAAACTAGAAATCAACCAGAGCAGCAAGATGCCATCAGGACAAGACCACCTCTCCCATGCCTGCCACAGAATTGTTAAAAGACTTAAAAGTCGCTGCCGTGGATCTGATAGCAACCCGACATCTCAACAGGGATCCATGAAATAAAATGGAAAGGTGTCATAGGATTCAAACTTACATGCCAGTTTTGGGAAAGAGCCAAATCTTGAATGTGTGGAAAGAATTCCTGAAAACAAGAAGAGCAATAACTGTAAAAAAATATATATAAACTAGAAATCAACCAGAGCAGTATTTACCTTTTATTTATTTATTTAATTAATTAATTTATATTCCACCCTTCCCACAAAGCAGGGCAGGTTCCAGCCCATGATAATCTGCGGAGTGCAGATTTACAACAAGAAAAACAAAACAACAAAATACATACAATAAATACAATTAAATAAGTACAATAATAAATACTTTAAAATAGATTATATCTCAACAGACGCATGGTTGCGACTCATTGGGGAGAGAGGTGGGGGGAGGCCAGATTGAGTTGGAAGAACCCTTTAGGTTCAGCGAGCAAAGATCTTTGGTTTTACAGCTGTGCCTCCTAAAGGGAATGACGAAGGGCTGGAATGCAGCAAACTTTAAAATTTTTAAAATCATATCCCTTCATTGGCTTTCTAAAGTAAGGAAGCTAAATAATGCCATGCCTTGACCTAGACAGAGCTATGCACGCAGTATACTGTAATCATTTCAACATAAGGAGCAGACCCACACATGCAAAATAATACACACAGCAATCGCCTATCTTCACTGAAAAGAATGGAGAAACTGTTCTAGGGCAGACACAGGGAAGATGGTTGGACTGAAGCATCAAGCTTCCAGTAGCACCTCAAGCATATTGCATATTAATATAATCCAATGAACTCTGCAACAATGTTGCATGCTATCTGTGCCCTGGATAGCTCTTATTATGATCCCAAATATTAGGTACACTGATTTACAAGTTTGTTGAGTTTCAGGTTTCCCCCAGTTTAACACCGGAGTTTGCACTGCTCCATCCCTACATCTCTTATTCAATAATTTCCTCTCCTCTCTGTGAATTGTCCCCATAACCTGGTATCTAAATACTACTATAGACACATCATGAATTTGCATTTGAAGCTTACCTTTCTTGATTAACATCTGAGTGACCAGCATGCCCATGGCAGACATCGGCAAAGCTGTGAGGCAAGGAAAGAAAACTGTTTCTATGATGAATGTTTACCAGAGCCACCCCCTCGACTGTTTTTTAAAAAAAGGAAAGGGAACTTCAGCAGAAAAATTGACACTAGGTTTTTAAACGGGTACAATGAGTAGCCTGCAGCACACTTAGCAGGGTTCATTTCCCACCCCCCCGTAAAGAATTCTAGCTTCCATTTTAAATGTTTCAAGCCCATGCAAATGTACATACAAGCATAAAGCAATCCATTCCTTTCAAACAAGGTTCACACTTAGATCTTTTTTATTTTTGAAAACTCACGTTTACCTTTCACATTGGCACAGATTTCCTAAGAAAGGCTCACTGGACACAAAGCTTTATGTTTTCATTAACCTGAGTGAAGGATTTGGCAACCAATCCAGAACTACTGCACCAGCACATATGTGCATGGGCCAGTATGGCTGCAGGAGCAACAGCCACCTTCATCACAGAAAGCATGGTGGCACTGAGCAAAGCACTTCTGCATCTGTATTAGAGATCCCAGTACTCTAGGACTGTCAGTGAGCAGTATATTTCACTTAGAGAACAGGGATCAGAGTTCAAATCCTGATCAGCCATGAAAGACCCTTCCTGATCTTCAGCCAGTCACCATTGCTTTAAGAAGAAGAGTTGGATTTATACTCCATCTTTCACTCAGAGTCTCAGAGCAGCTTAAAATCTCCTTCCCTTTCTCTCCCCACAACAGACACCCTGTGAGGTAGGTGGGGCTGAGAGAGCTCTGAGAGAACTGTGACTGACCCATGGTCACCCAGCTGGCTGCATGCGGAGGAGTGGGGAATCGAACCCGGCTCTCCAGATTCGAGTCCACTGCTCTTAACCACTGCACCAAACTGGCTCTTTAAATCTAACAACTCATCAAGCTGTTGCAAGCATAAAGCAAAGTAACGCCTTTTGTGGTCCATCTTGATCTTTTCTTGAGAAAGGATGGGATAGAATCATGATTAACACAGTCTGCAATGTGAGGATGCCTTGTGATGCCACAAGAGCAGATGCTGGGGTAAACTTCTCAGATCACAGGCACAGAGTTGCACCCCAGTGTCCCCTGTTACAGCGCAAGCAAATCCAGGGCACATCTGGGAGATTGTGTGAGGCAGCTGCTTGGGATGACCAAGTCTGTTGCCCTGAATAGGCAAAGAAACACTCTACTGACTTCTGTAAGTGCCTACTTTATGAAGTTTTGGAATGTGTTGCTCAATTCCCACAAGAGTGTTTTTAAAATACTGGTGCATCACATGCCTGTAGAATTATGTGAATTTTCTTTCCCATGTTGCTGCTAACTCAGCCAACTGCTTGCCCTGGCCGCTCACTGGTTGGCAAAATGCAATCAAGGCAAAGCAAGAAAGTCGGAGGGGGGGGGAGGCAACTATCACTTACATCTGTACCAGAAGCTCTCCTCATTACATTCTCTGAAGACTCTCCTTTCATCTTCCGTCGGCACATAATTCATATTTACTGCACTCTTTTTTTAAGAACACAAAAAAGATTACTGTACGATGTATGGTAGAAATACTGTGAAATACTGAACACGAATATTTGCCAAGATTTTAGATGTACATGAAAGTGAGATGTTATTTCAGAAAAAGTAACACCATGTTCATGGATACCTTGGTACACTTCATAGGACTGTAACACACTTACTACTGTTTCTTGCGTTTTCTCAGCCTTTTGGACTCCCTTAGGTTTCCCCCCCTCATCTGTATTTATACACAGATTAATTCATGCCATTCACAAAGTAAGAACAACTCACAAATGTTTATGCCACAAGAAAGCTGCTGGGTTTGGAATCACTGACCTCACTGTTTTATTTTGGCAATCTGTACACTAGCTATATTATTTTGCTACTTAAAGCTCATACCCTCCGGATAGTGGGATAGTCGGTATCAGGAATTTTCCTTCCAGCCAACAGGTGACACTACCCAATCTCGCCTTTTACTGCTTCTGGCCCGAGTGTAAGTGTTGCAATAGGTACAAACTACATGTGATACTGGGAATCAGTGACTACATTCATTCCCGTTAATACCTTAGCCACAAAAAGAAGCTTCCACCAGGATGGGGTATGGATTGTAGTTCTGGCCCTGGCTCTTCAGCTTTCCAAAGAACTGCTGTGTTTGTTTACACACTGACTGACAAGAGAGTTGTGTGATCCGCTAAGTACCACAGCACATCTGATTAGGTGCTTTTTGGCTTTTAAAGTCCAAAAGAGACAGCCGTTGTTGCCTCATTGTTCCAGTAGCCTGCTTTTGTGCAACCGGAGATGATTTTTTGACTGAACACACCTAATTAACAGTGCCAACCAAAACAAAGTTCAATGGATTTCACAAAGGGTGTAACTCTGTTTAGTACTGCACTGGTCTGTGTAACATCAGTCTTCCAGTTTAAGGCCTTAGACAACAGCTTTTATGTCACATGCAGCCTAATTTTCACTCACTCAGAGTTGGGGGTGGTTTTTTTTTTTTTTTTGCTTAGCATCCAGCATGGTGTTAAGCAAAAACTCAAAAGCTATTTTATCATATTCTAGTTAGCCTAAAACAGGTACGCTATTCAGGTTCTTTCAATGCAGAATAAGTCTGACACCCTTTAAGGTGTCTCTTTGTTTATTTATTCTAGCACACTCAACAGTGCAAACCCATGCAAAGTCACTCCAGTCTAAGCCAATTTCAGTCAATGGGTTTAGGCTGGAGTGACTCTGCAGAGAGGAATATAGTACAATGAAACTAACCAACAATTAAATGGGCCAAAACCGTAGATGTAACGCATCACTACTGTGATACACGATTAGATCCCATTCAACCTATGCAAATGCATCTTACTATAAAGCAACACAACTTTTGTTTAAAAAAACCCCGTGCCTCGGTAGTTTGGGATTGCAATTTCTTTGACAACCAACACGCCCCTCCCACCCCTTTTAAACAGTTATTCTTGACCCCAGTGGAAGCGAAAAATCCCAAAACCATGAGTGCTCAATGAAAACTTAATAGCGTAATGTAGCCCCCCCGCCCAGCAAGGCATACCTGGCCAACGCCACCATGATCGGGCCGATGGGATTCTCCCCCAACCTGCCCGTGAGGCTCCATAGATCAGAAATGCGGAGATGGGGCGGCGGGGTTGGGGGGGAGATCAACAGCAAAGCGCTTCCAAGAACTAATCCCGGAAGTCCCGCTTCTCCGACCGGAAGTGCACGAAGGGCGAATGTTTGTACCACCTACAACCCACCCCGGAAACAGATGGGAAAGAGCAGGAAAGGGGGCGGGGAGGAATGTGGCTTTCACAAAGGCGCCCCAGACATGCTCACACCCACCCACGCGTTAGGACTGCACGCAGCCATCTCCTCCAAGTCCAGTTACACTCCTCCGTATACGGGCAAGGGTTTGTAGTTGCAACAGGACTCCGTCTCCAAAGAGAGAACAGAAAGCATCGTAACCTGGATTGCCGGTTGCACGCTCCAAAGAGAAAAGCCAGGGCGTGCCTTCTGTTAAGACCGACTAAAACAGTACGACGAAATAACAGACGGAAACTTTTCCACCATGCCCAGGAACATCCCCTGCTTTCCCCTTTGTCGTTTAACTTCTAGCCTCGGGGGAAGTGCTGGTGAAGTTGAAAATTAGAGTCGGGCCTAATAAAAATGTTGCGTTGCACCTCACCCCCCCTCCCCCTTGGGCTAGCATCGCTACGTGTAATTTTTGTCTGTACAGGAATCAAAACCATCAAGCAGGCGGAGTTGGTCATTTTCATTGCGGTGCTTTGAGATAAAGATATTTGGGGGGGGGGAGCGCGGAAGGTACTTGGGAAGTTGGTGTGGAAAGGAAGAAAACATAGTAAAAGTAAAGGTTCCCTTGCTCGAAAGCCAGTCGAGTCCAACTCTAGGGTTGCGGGCGGTGCTCATCTCCGTTTCAAAGCCGAAGAGCCCGCGCTGTCCGAAGACGTTTCCGTGGTAATGTGGCCGGCATGACTAAACACCAAGGCGCACGGAACGCTGTGACCTTCCCACCGAAGTGGTACCTATTTATCTACTTGCAATTTCTTGCTTTCGAACTGCTAGGTTGGCAGGAGCTAGAGATGGGAGCCCACTCCGTCATGCGGCAACTCGGGTCTCGAACTGCTGAACTACTGACCTTCCACAGCCTGCAGTTACCGCAACTTCCTGAAAATATAGTACAGACGCTAAAAACCAGTACTTAGCATATGAGAGTGACACGAAGATTAAGAGTTACAGGGAGCAACGTTAAGTGGGTCTCCTCAGAAGTAAACCCCATGTTATTCGATGGGGCTTACTCCCAGGAAAGTGTTCTTCGGGTTGCTGCTTTAGAGACTAAATGCTTGTTTTTCTTATTAAGCCGAAAACTCTATATAATAGATAAAATGTAAAGCAGCACTTTATTCTCTATCAATGTATGATTTGCCACGGAGAAAGAAAGATTGTAATTGGACAGTTAGCAATTAAAAGAGAAGTGTGTGCCTTAGGGGTGGCCGAGCTGGGTGCCCACCTGGAGCACCAAACTGCAAGGGGGTACCAGGGTCCCCCCCCCAGCTGCAGGTGGTCACCTCAGAGTAGGGATTCCCAGCCTTTGTTGAGCTGTGGCCACCTTTGAAATTCTGACACCCATAAAATGGCTGCAGTAGGTGGTGGAGGGATGCACTAAAAGGAAGGACAGGATTGCCCATTGGTACTGTAAAGTATTTAAATAGAGCCCATGCAAGTCAATTTCCTGGCTCCCATTATTTCTAATGGGCGGCGGGCCTTCATGTGTTTCCCATTATTTCCAGTGGGCAATCCTGTGCCTCCTTTTAGTACATCCCGGTGGTGGAGCTGCACTTGCAGAAAGGAAGCCCAAGTCATTTAAAGAATACAGTGGGAAAGAGAGGTGAGAAAGGATAAAACCAACACTGTGGTGGCAGCTGCCACGGACATATTATTTTAATCTATTGACATGTTATTTTAATCTGTCCAGCCAATAGGATTTCCAGTGGCCAATCAGAGGCCCTGCTGGGGGAGTGCCTGACCTGGCTTCACCCACTTTCTAAAGACACTTGGTGGGTGTCAGAAAAGGTGTGTCAGTGGGTGCCACATTGAGGACTCATGGCTCAGAGGGTGACTGTCAATTTACCATGACTAAATGACCAGTAGCAATTAATTTACACTTAATAACCTGGCAGAACGGTTGGGAAAATCGCATAACTCTAGTTTCATCTACATTTTTATTTATGCAGTGGATATTCTAAAATAAAGAGAAGTAACAAAAATATTGAAAGTAAAGCCATCCATTCTTGGGTTGTCCATGGCTTTGCAAATTTCCTGTTTAAAAGGTTTGTGTAAGTATAATACTCTGTGATTGTTCTGTTCTGTTCTGTTATATAGCCCACTGCTCAGATTGGTACATTTTGAGTTTTGGCTCATGCAAACTCCAGTACAGCTTTGGCTCGTGCAAACTCCAGTACAGTGGTTTAGAGATCAAGGTTTTGAATGATGTCGTTCTTCATGTATAGGATAGCAAGTGATATGAGTTTCTCATCTCCCAAGGTAGATCCTAAGTACATTTTGATGATTTGAGAAGGTAAGCTCACCACCGGCAACTGTCACTGGAAGTGTCAGGAGAATTTGTAGTGCTACCCAGACATTTGGGAATGCATCACTCTGAGGGGTGACATGATTGAGGTTTATAAGATTATGCATGGGAAAGAGCAGGTAGAGAAAGAGGTACTTTTCTCCCTTTCTCACAATACAAGAACTCGTGGGCACTCCATTAAATTGCTGAGCGGTCGGGTTAGAACGGATAGAAGGAAGTACTT